TTTCAGGCCATTATGGGAAGGAGTGAGCTTTTTAGCAGAGAATGGTGCAGGGGCTGTTTTCATAGAGCTCGGACTCGAGGTTGTAGCTGCTTTTTTGGATGATGTAACCACTGATGTTTTGGGGGGTTTTAGGGTATTTGGAGGTGACTTAGGCAGGCCTGGATTTAACTTCTTATGCTTAGGGTTAGGTGGTGAGCCGGACTTCTTTGCTACACCAGCAGCTGACATTTTGGTTGTAGCTGTAGTTGTTGCTGTTGTGGTTATAGTGGCAGCTGTGGTGGGTTCTGGAGTGGTTGGACTTTGAGTTGCTTCATCTTCATCTGGCTTAACTACAACTAAAGAAGTGACTGGTGTGACAAAGTTATATTTGAGGGAGAGGTTGGTTGCTTTATCTGTTAGCAACTTTTGAGTTGCAGGATCAGTAGAATTCAGTTTAGCCAGTAGAAGCTCCTTGATAGTGAAATATGCCCAGAGGCGATGAACAAAGCTGGATATCCCTTCTAAATCTCCCGAACACTCTAGTGAAGCTGTAGTCCCATTTTCTTGGGAAATAAACACGTCATTCTCCAGCTTCATTTGCTGCTTTGAATCTATAGCTGAGACTAGCACCTTTAAATCTTTGACCCCGGTCTTAACTCTCCCAGTCACAACCAACTCAGATCCTTGGAAGTAGTTTGGAAAAAGGGAGCGGGTGACATCAAATGCTTGATCATCCAGATAAGACAGCTGTATGTCTGATAACAAAGGGCTAGCTACTTCATCATAGAAGCCCTTAAGCTGCAAGGCTGCATCTGCATCTTCATACACCATCCTGGCTACACCTCGGTTTTCCAGAGCCAGGCGTTTGAGAAGCAGGAAGTCTGCATCATCTCCAAAGGCAAGGCCAAACAGAGAGGCTGAGCCCAAAGCCTTCTTGGCATTACTGAGGATAGTCTCACTGGATGTGACTCCGATGGTTGCTTCCCCATCAGTGAGGAAAATCACCAGAGGAACACGATGAGATGAGGTGCGTCTGGAAGGGCCAGAGGATGGAGGATTGACAAGCTGGGCAGCTGAGAGCAGAGCTGCATTAATATTGGTCCCTGACACAAAGGAGTGGAAAAAGGAGAGAATTACTGTTGAAGGCACAAGTTTAACAATCAGCTGATGCAATGATTCAAATTGTCTACGGTGCAGCAGTTCAGTCAGTATCAGTTTTGGACTCACATCCTTCTGCTATAATCCTCTTCACAAACTCTTTGGCTTCCCATACATTCTGCCGAGTTGCTCGCACGGTTTTGCCTTTTTTCCAAGTGTGAACCTTGTCCGAGAAGGTGACGATGTTGAAGTGGTCTCCCTCTCTAAGGTCCCCAAGGATGGTGCTCATAGCTTGCTTTGTCTACTGACAGAAATTCTTGGAATTATTTACAGAAAACCGACGTTGCTGTCATATGTGAGCAAGTTTCTTCATCTTAAGACACTTAATACAGCTCTAGCTATCCAAATGAGCCTTTGTCCACTTTACCTGCTTTATCTTATTGCCTATCATTGAGCTGCTGACATCAATGACAAATATAACATCCTTAGGAACCACAGGAAGTCCCCTAGGTGCAAAGTAATGCACAAAGTAGCCATCATACACCTGACAGTGAGTGAGAAAAGAGATTGTTAAAAGCAACCTTTGCTTCTATCGGTATTAGATGTTTACAGTGTGACAAAGTCAGGAATGCTGACCTGAACATCACCTATGAGGTCTTTTAGATCCACATCATATTGGATGATGAAATCAGCATTAAGACCATTGGAAGAAATGCTCTTCTGTTGATTTAGAGTTGGAGTGTAGCGGACTCGAGCACACTCTGGACTCTGCTCGACATGAGTAGAGGCAGGGGCATCGGCATTAGCTGTAGGAAACATGCCATGAGGTTGGACTCAAAACCAATAGAAGATAATCTACAAAATTTCCATCAAAGTAAGTAGACTTATTTGCATTTTTCTCACCAACCATTTAAGAATATACCATCCCTGTGTGGTATGAAATTACAGCCAGCAAAAACAAGACATTATGTTAAGTCAAATAATGCACATGTA